TCGGACACACACACACACACGTATACACACATTAAATGTAATGCATTCATCGACTACAGCATGCATCTATTTTCCTCAACACATTGAATGCAATACAGGAGCTCCGGCCATTTCAAATCCTTCTTCATGGCCTCTATGCTGTAGAAACCAGCAACGACGGTGTACTCGCCCTTCTTGGTCTCCTTCTCGATAAACTTCTCGGCCACCTTGACGAATTGCTCCTGATTCCGATATCGTAGTCTAGGGTACACAGCCTGAATTTGGGGTCACACTTAGTAAACACTAGGCCGTCCTTCTCACCACCGAGATCCATCATCATCTTGATGAGCGTATCTCGCTCATGCTTGGACCCCCGCAAGAACCTTCTTGCAAGCTCTGCCGAAACCTTAAGCTTCGGCCTCTTGCTTGTGGGGTTGCACAACCGTCGCACTTTAGCAGCATGCTTCTGCCAAACTGGATCCGAAAATGACATAGCAGGCTTGGCCGGTCCATCTTGCGAACCCTCTGCATCAGACTCTGCTGGCTCAGAGCCAGAGCCCTCGTCCTGTGAGTCCTCAGGCTCTGTCGGCGTGATGTCGCCGTCAGCCTCCTGTCCATGGCAAACAATGCATGCATGATTACATCTGAAAATCACAGGTATGTTCATGATGCATGGAAAATGTCCGGCTCCTTCTCAGGGGTGTCTGTCACGTTCTGCAATTCGAGAAAGTTGCGGAACAAAGTAGCATCATCCATGGACTCGTCGTCCTGGCAAATGACACATATAATGTGTATATGCATACATGAATATGTATGCATGAACCCCTGCCTGCATGTAGCTTACCATTACATATCATCACACAACCCTACCGATCCTCCTCTTCTGGAAGAGGCGATGGATAATCCATTGGCTGAGCCTCGGCAGCCTGGTCACCCAGGGATTCCTCCTCGGTATGCACAGGCTGCAAAGCACCCACACCCTCGGGGAGGCCAGTAGTTCCCAGAAAGTCAGGCTGACGATCCTGGCTCCATCCATCTTCACCAGCATGCATATCATCATCAAACAATCGGCGCTTTACTGGCTTCACTTTCTCTTTGGGTGTATGGTCTCGCAACGTCTCTTCCAAGCTGTCTTCCGACAGTGTCAGCAAGGCCAATTGACCGGTCGGTGGGGCTGGTGGGGCCTCCTGCTCAGAAGCCGGCCCCAGCACTTTATCAGCCAACTCCGAGCTCCTGGGGCTAACACCAGTGC